GCGCCCGCCGAGGGCGCCCTGGAGGGCGGCCTGCTGCCCTACGTGTCCAACCTGCTGGGCCCGGCCGGCCAGATCTTCATGTGCCCGCTGTGCAACAAGGTCTTCCCCAGCCCGCACATCCTGCAGATCCACCTGAGCACGCACTTCCGCGAGCAGGACGGGCTGCGCGGCAAGCCGGCCGCCGACGTCAACGTGCCCACCTGCTCGCTCTGCGGCAAGACCTTCTCCTGCATGTACACGCTCAAGCGCCACGAGAGGACCCACTCGGGCGAGAAGCCCTACACCTGCACCCAGTGCGGCAAGAGCTTCCAGTACTCGCACAACCTGAGCCGCCACGCCGTGGTGCACACGCGCGAGAAGCCGCACGCGTGCAAGTGGTGCGAGCGCAGGTTCACGCAGTCGGGGGACCTGTACAGGCACATCCGCAAGTTCCACTGTGAGTTGGTGAACTCCTTGTCTGTCAAAAGCGAAGCGCTCAGCTTGCCCGCTGTCAGAGAATGGACCTTAGAAGATAGCTCGCAAGAACTCTGGAAATAATTTTATATATATATATAAATAATATATATATATATATATATATACGCCTCTATATACATAGATCTCTATATAGTTGTGGTACGGTCTAAAAGCAGTCTTGTTTCCCGGAACTAAAAAGTTGGGATATTAACTTGTTTTTGCACTTTAGAATAGCATGAGACTCTCACTAATTTAGCATACTGATAAAAGAAACTTTAGGACAAGTCTGAGAATAGAGAGGTGTTTTTCTTTTGGGGGGTAGGGGAAGTAAGCCAATAAGAACCTTCGAAACAAGTCGTCCTATCGCAAAATGCTTTCATAGGGCTTCACTTTGTCAACACTGCATTGTCTTTTGAGGTCTTTTTTCCCCCACTTGTTTTTTTTGGGGTTTTGGTTTTTTTGGTGTTTTTTTTTTTTAGTAGAAATTCCCTCCAGTTTTATTAGCCTCTTTATATAAATGTCTCAAATTGCATGACTCTTTTCTGGCTGTTGGAAACCTGAATGCTTTTAGACCCAAATGGAAAATTTCTGAAATGCTGGATTATCTATTTTTAAACAAGCAGTTGACTTAAAACTTTCTGTGGCAACTTCTGGTTTTCTGACGGTTCCCAATGAGAGAAATTATGAACGTACACTGGGATCACTGGGACGCTGTCTTTGTGAAGGTTTGCTTGGGATGGAAAGGATATTGCAGCTTCAGCAGTGTTGAACTGTGTTGAAAATGTGAATTACTGTCATTGTATACTGTAATTGATTACATGGGCTGGGGGGGTGTCAAAGAACTTGACAGGTTGTGTTGATGCTCTTAGTTGAGTCTTGAAAAGTAAATATTAACGCTACAGAAATGCATGAGTTTCAGTATATTTTTGTCTTTGTTTGCATTGTATAACTTTAATGAGTGAGTTTAAGATTATTTAATTTCCTTAGAAAAATAGCACCATTTGGAGAAAAAAACTGGTGTTATGAAGAACCTAAATGCACTGTTTTTGTTTTTATTTTATATAATTTAAATTGACTTTCCCACTGTCTTTAAGTTGAAACTGTTAAGCTGAATAAAAACTTAAGCTGCAAATTGATAACTTCGCTACGTAACAAGGAAAATATGTTTACAAACGGCTTAAAGATTTGCATGTGCAGCGTGCATTTATAACGAACTCCTAATTGCACAGAACCCGTGCCAGCTCAGAGTTTAGGTGTACACTTTTACCCAGTTGAGCGTTTTTAGAATAACTACTGCACAAATTGACAAGAGGTCATTCTTTCTTTCTTTCCTTTTTTTTTTTTTTTTTTTTTTTTTCCCCCTCCTTCAATTTCTTAGACTGTTTAACTCTGGAACTATTTCATCTTCAAGGATCANTTCTTCTCCCCTTTTCCTTACCCACCGTCCCTCCCCCCTCCCCCCAACTCATGAAAAGATCCTATGGACTGAAAAAGCCCCAGGCTGAAAGGACTGGACTGCCTTGATTGACGTGGGGAAGGGGGTTAGTAGACTATGTGGATCGGCAGCAGAGGCTGCAGCCCAGCGTGTGGTTCAATGACCAGCACGCGGGGCAAGAGCATTTTGCACAGTGTTTGTTTTCCTGTCTTGCACTTACAAATAAGGTCTATGGGAGTAGCATGGAAAACGGTTGCTGTTTTTCCCTTTTTTTTTTTTAAATTGCTTTTGTTTAAAATTTGATCGCCTTAACTACTGTAAACATAGCCTATTTTTGTGCTTAAGATACTGAATGGAAAACTCCATTGTGTGTTGCTGGACTGTTTTGGAAATATTTGGTCAAATGTGTGTTAATTTGGCTGTAATGGCATTTAAAGCAAACAAACAAACAAAAAAAGCTGTGAAAATGGCCTTGGAGCATTATCTTTAGTTACTTGAAGAGTTTCTAGTTATTTTTAAATACAGTTTATGTTAAGATAATTTTTATTAATTTAGAGAAGACAATCAATGTCTGTGAGAAAACGGACTTTCTTTTTGAATTTTCTTTTTGTGGTCATTGTGAGTGATTACTTTTTCCTTTTATTAGTTTCACATTCTTTGTTCTAAAACTTAGGCTGACATCTAGCTCTGACAATCATAGTATGTTTTATTTTCCTGAGGGGGGAATAACTTATAATGCTGTTTAGTTTTGTACTGTTGGTGTGTTGGTGAATTTTTAAACTGTGTGCTAACTGCAATAAATTATATGAACTCAGTTTCTCGTGTGTGATCTTGATTGTGGTTACGTACTACCTGACCCCAAGTGTGTATCACCCACGGCGTCGTTTTGAATCTCAGTTCTATTCACAGCTTGTGAAATTATTAGAATGCCTTCGATCACGCCAAAGGACATGTGTAAACATTTTTGCTTCTAGTCATTTAAGAAGATACTAAATGCACATTTTTATTTTTTTTATTTTTATTTTATTTTACTTTTTAAATATATCTTTGTTGATTTCAGAGAGAGGAAGGGAGAGGGAAAGAGAGAGAGAAACATCAATGATGAGAGTCTGATCGGCTGCCTCCTGTGCGCCCCCGACTGGGGATCGAGCCTGCAACCCGGGCATGTGCCCCGACCGGGAATTGAACCCCGATCGCCTGGATCCTAGGCCACATCCGGCTGGGCTAAATGCACATTTTTAAAGTGTGACCCATTTTCTACTACCTAGATCAAGAATGTGACGATTATTCCCTAGAAATTTGTGAATCCATGAAACTTAAGTGGCAGCATAGGGTTTTCCATAATACACTGCCCAGCTACTAATCTGTGCACCATAAGTCATTTTCATGGGTAATTTTATCCTAAGTTGATGGGTCAGATCTATTCTTCTGTGTTCTGTTTTAAGTGGAAAATTGAAGGAGACCGGATGTCTTAATTTGGAAGACTGCTTGGCTAATGACTGGAATTCTAGGCAATTGAATTAGCAGGCATTGGATGGTTCAAGATTAACTTACATACATCCTTTCTGTGGCTGCGCAAACTCAAAAGCCCCCAGGTTTTAATTCTCAAGTTTAAATTTTAAAATTTAGTTAAGTACGTGCAACCATTAAAAGAACGCTGTGCCCTAATTTTTGTGGTCATCCCAGCTTCCTGACTGTGTCATTGGACATGTCAGGGCAGAAACATTGCTGGTTGACCTAAGGAATTAATGGAACACACACATGCTGGATGCTACTGTACAAGGAGTTGTCTCGTGGTCCTGAGTGTGAGCAGGGCCAGCACGGACCTGAGAGAATTTTTGCAAATCCTGAAATCCATAATTGCCATACGTTCCAGCCTTAAAGATACAGATGAAAATACAGGTTTACATTATGACCGTCAAAATGAAAATACGTGTTAAATGGCCTGTAGTAAGATTAATAGTTTTCTATAGAAAAAAGTGGTATATAAGGTCCGGAGCTTGAAAGTATACCATCTGTGAGCTCCCTCATGGCTTTGGGTGGAAATCCAAGATTTTTATAAAGCACAGTAATTGACAATTTAGGATTCTACTTTTCTCTTTTTGGTGGAGACAGGATTTCTATGACATGCAACTCATGTTTGGTTTTTAACCAATTAAACATCGTTTCACATGAAAGGGGAAGGTAGATTTGAGCTTCACAAAGTAATTTCTTGAGCATTCACAAGATTATTCAAAAAAGGTGTAACTGGACGCAGTATCACAAAGCTTTCTGGAGATGCTGGAGGTTCTAATGTAGCATCTAATTTAAAAAGAAGAGCATTATCTTAACTGGATATACTTATAAAAACAACATTTTGACACATGATTTGGAAGAAATAACTTAAAAATGTCTTTGCAAAACTAGAACAATACTCATTCCACAAATCAGCACAGTTGATGAGAGAAAGAATCAGATGTTCACTCGCTACATTTAAAAAAAGGGAAATTCATTTGTCATATAATCGTGTTGGAAACCAAATTGGTCCCCCCTTTGACATCTGGCTGCTACATAGTGTGGTTTTTTTTAATAGGTAGTTTCATTTACTTTTGACAACATCTGTTTCTTTTAGATAATCAATTACGCCCCAGATCGCTGTGGGCCCAGCATTGTGTGCTCGTGTACCCTAGGGAATATCCGAGAAGTATAAAATGTTAAAGATACTGGTTTTGGATTTCCTCTCTAGTCAATTATGCTATCAGATTAATGGCGAGTCAAGTAGACTTTTTCTCAACAGATTTCTCATCATTATCTACACACAGGTTATTGGAAAGTTAGAAGGAGGTGAACGTTATATTAAAATGACACAATAGCTCACATTAGAATGGCTGAAACACTCATTTTCCGAGTAAATCTTTTAACTATCATCCAAGAAGAGTTGTTTTTACCCAAGAAGTCACACTAAAAAAAATCTAATTTTCCCAAGTTTTATCAATAAAATACAAAGTATCTAAAACTAGACTTTAAAAACCCCATTGCATGAGACAAGAATTTTTTAAAAAGTCTTAAAGATCTCAGATTTTCTTGTATTGTATAACTACATTTTATACCTATTGAGCTTAAAACATTTTTTGATTTCTAATATAATAAGGGATACTTTTACATACCTCTGGCTAGGAAACTCAGATAATTTTAGGCTGAATTCATAGATATTCATCTAAATTGTTGTAATTATTGCAGTGGTTTGAAATGCTGGTAAGGAACAGTGAATCGAGTAAGGGCGAATTTTGAAATCCAGGACAGAAGAGCTCAAACCTTTTCATTAGAGTCGTTTGCCATTAAAATGCTAGAGATGATGACATTTTAAAACATAAAGCAATAGATTTATTTCTTAAAAGCAAATAGCTTTCAGGAGTTTCATTTTGGCTCCAGTCCAAGTTTATTACACAAGTGGGGTTTTGTCCCCTAAGATTAAAATTCTTCTACCTTTGCCTTCAGAAACATGGCAAGACGTCTTTGCCTGCGATCCTGTGGTCTAAAATGATGCGATCCTGTGGTCTAACATGCAGAACACTTATCTTTTGACTTCAAGTGAACTTAGTTACATAAAAAGAAACAGTTTATGTTCCTAACCCTCCCCACCCCTTCTTAGATTTTCTTAATATTATATTTATAAAGGAGTCAGAACTTACGGATATCGCTGGAGGTTTTTAGAAATATTAATTCATTTTCAGAGACATTGAAAAAATGGAACCCTTAGTATTTTTGCAAACCGACTCCCTAAAAACCTTGGCTAATTTTTGTAAGGTCTTGGGAAAGAAGCTGAGCTCTTTAAATTGAAAAGTTTTTAACAGGAAAGGGTGAGGTCATAGAAATGGAACAGTAGCTTGAAAAGATGTGTTTAAGCCCACATACCTTACAAGTATCTGCTTACACGTAATTGTTGAATTAATTACCCAGTTAATTCAGGCTCATAGATTTTTAATTTTTTTTCCTAAAAATTCAAGTACTTGAAAGAAATCAGATTTTTTTTTTTGAGAGGGATGCTTTATCCAGTTAACTTTCCTGGTTTAATTCTAACATTGACCGATATACTGTTCATTGCAATCCTAGGTTTATGCGAGCGTGGCACTTTCCTAGGCTGAGAATCTCCTGCAGGAAATTCAACACTCAGGGTTTATTCTTGAATTTGCAGGTACTTCTCCCCCGTTGCCAATCTTCTCGAGGGGTGGGTTTGTAGTCGAGCTTGAATTTTGCTATAGGAGGCATTCTCCCCTGTTAGTTTGGCAGGAGAAGAGTGAAAACCCAATTTGGCTTTAAAATATAGCACATTAGTCAGTAACAGTTTCAGTGAGGATATTAAGAGTGGCTCTGAGAGGTAGCATGACACCCATAGAGAGTCCATTCGTGGAAATGACTTATTTACAGTTTGTTATAATCTCTGTAGTTAATCATTAAATCAAGTTGTTTTTATTAAATGTCAATACACATGCTTAAAATGAGTATCCAGGGATTTTTTTAAAGTCGTATTGGCCTAAATATTGAAGTTTGTAATAGGTATATTTGTAGTCGATATGAAGTGGTATATGGAAAAAATGCATTTGAATGTTGGCACCATTGATAGGATTGATTAAATCTGTTGGATATATAATGAATGAATTTAACCTTATTTATGTGAGCTCTGCCAAACCAGAGGTAACTTTTGATATATGACACAGCTTA